TCCCTACGACTTTAAGCCCTGTAAAGTTTCCTCCTGTTGTTTGCATCAGAACAATTAGAACAATTCTTCGAGATCTGCCTGTTGGATGAGCGGACTGTGTCCTGAGTTTACCATTTTTTTTCGAGTCGCACCAAACGGAACCAAACCCCCGTCCCTCCTTTCCACTGAATCAACAAGTAAACATTATTTGCCCTCTTTAATCTGATGAAGAGCTCTGAACTGAATGCCAATGCTCACTGAGCCTGACTAAAAAAATCCACGCTATGTATTACTGTCTGCTTAGTTCTTCTTTCCATTTGTTTGAAGAGTTGGGCTACTATGGTTGGATTGGTTTAGAATCATTAGCTTCAAGCTACCTCATTGCCAGCCCTATGGCAGTAGCCATGTTGTGAGTCTTTTAACTCTGAAAAAAGTCAGACATTGCTGTTCAACCATCTGAATCATCTGAATAACAAAAAAAATATGAACTCATGAAACAGGCTTAGACGAAAATGACGATTCCCCATAAAAGACTGAAAATAATGTGACCAAAGGGACACGTTAAATCAAAATGTCTCCAATAATTAATAACACAGATGTCTACAATCTATTCAGTCAATAGGCCCATATTTATAGGGCTAAAAGTGGTCACTGTGCTAAAATGGTGTGTACCACACTCAACATGGACCAGAGAAAACAAAGGAAACACTTGTCTAAAGTTAGAAAGAAAATTATAGATGATCATGCTAAAGATAAAGGCTATAAAACTATCTCCAAGCTGCCTGATGTTCCTGTGACTACGGTACCACAGATTATTCAGAAATTTAAGATCCATGGGATTGTAGATAGCCTGCTTGGAATGGTCACTGGAGGAAAATTGATGACAAATCAAAGAGAGAATAGGAATGATAACAGGAGAGCCCAGAAAAACTTCTAAAGATATTAAAGTGAACTTCAAGCTCATAGAACGTCAGTTCAAACCATCTGTCCTTGTTTGAGCCAAAGTGGATTTAATGGGAGACAACCAAGGAAGACATTGATGAAAACAAATGACTAAAAGAGAAATAATGGAATTTACACACCACAAAGCTTCTGGGAGAAAGTCATATAGATAGATGAGACATAAATTTAACATTTTGCTAAGATGCATCAGCTCTATGTTCATAGATTGAAAAATTAAGCGTGTCAAGAAAATAGAATAGAATAGAAAATCCCTTTATTGTCCCACAATGGGGAAATTCTGGTGTTTACAGCAGCA